GGGCGATGGGACGAAACGTTGTCGCATGCCAGTTCAAGTATCAAACTACTGGGAGAGGTTATTGTGATGACCAAAACTCATCCGTATCAATCTAAGAACCCGTTTTGGGTAGGTGCCGTTCTGAAGTTACAACTGTTGAAACTTGAGACGCATGAAGACAATTACTCGCGGGAGACTTGTACCACGTTAGTTCCCGCGCTTTCTTGTTTCCCTTCTCGGAGACGGACACAAGGATTATCGAGCCTTAACTATTAGAAACAAACTAACTTCTCCACACTTGCTCCATCACCTACTGGAGTCAGGCTGCCAGTGCCGATAGAAGGCCTATTTCCACTAGGATGTTATCTCTCAACTACTTCGCGGACTGAGCACGTTACCTACGCCTTTTTGTTTCTGTATTCTCCGACATGGATCAAAAACAGGATCGGACTTCTGTGCTCAGAATCGTCGCTGAACTGGATCGGTGTAGTTTAGACACAGGGTGTCTTTCAAGTGACAATCGGGACAAAGAAGAGAGATTAATTTTCAGGTATGTGCAAACGACAACCCGATCCGACTCATAGGCGTTGACCATTTTATGTACCACACATGGTCTCATATGCGTTTATTCAATCCAGTTGGCCGTGGCACCATCGTTTACATGCCAGGTCAGTGGCGATCCCGTGAGCAGATGTTCTTGACAAGCAGTCCGTTCTAGTTAGCAAGACTCCACATTCTTCCATCGCTATCGCTTCGAAAACCAAGTCCGAAGCCGCCGACCAGGTAGTCATGTGGAATGTATGCTGGCACACTTCTACCGTTCCAGTCTCCAGGGGCTATCAGCAAATCACGGTAAGGGGTGCTTTCAGTCAGTTCTTTTACCTGCTAGTAAGAGGCTTCCCTGTTGCATTGGTCGGCAGCTAACAGTGGTACATCGAGCTGACCCGAGTTTAGTCAACCTAGTTGATCATAGTACCATCAGGTCAATAGAACAATACCAGGTAAGTAGATGACTGCAATTATGTTGGGAGCGGGTGTTTGTGACAACCAATCTGTTCTGGTCAGCAAGACTTCACATTCTTCCATCACTACCATTTAGAAAACCAAGCCCAAAGCCACCAACAAGACAATCTTGTGAAATGTCTGCTGGCACAGTTCTACTATGCCAGTCCTCAGGGACTCTCAGAAAAGCCCGGTAATGGGTGCTTTCAGTTAGTTCCTGCAGCTGCTAGTAAGAGGCTTCTCTGTTACACGGGTCGGCAGCTGAAAGTGGCACCTAAGCGGAGAAAACCGTAATATTGGTAAATTGTCCTTTCCGTCGAACGCAAGCTCCGACTATTGAGTAGTTACCACACAAGTAATGCATAGTTCGTCTGTTGTGCGAGACTGTGGTCGCCACACCATGACTACCGAAAGTCGCGTGAGCCATTGTGATAGAAGGAAGAGTGGAAATTGATCTATATTTTCCGGGAGTCGGATTTGGGGCTTTAGGCAGGCATAAGACCTCTAAGTTGTATTTGTATAAACTACACGCCCCGATAGCACTGCTGTTGTTAGCCCACGATCGCTTAGTCGTCAGATCTGAAAGCATGTTTGGTTTACTTTTAGCGTTCGCTAAAGGCAGCCCCGCTATCCGTCACTTATGGATTCCGTGGACTTCCAGTAGCTGATTTACCGTGTGAGCTCGTCTTCCTTAGACCGATATTCTTCTTCTGATTGCATGTGTAGACCCGTGCAGTCCCGATTTGGTTGTTAATTTTGTGGAAGTTATAGGCTTGTTTTAGATACCTACACGAAAAATATCCGGTTTTTAGATATAATGGCCTATTATTTCAGTCTTTACCTTCTTTTCGTAGCGCCAAGTGATGGGGAGGCAGTCCAGGAATCATCTTCCCACTCCGGCCGGACAAATTCCTCTTCCATTATACGAGACTGTCTTGCAGGATCTGAACATTCTATGACCTCCTCCTCAGACGCTTCTCGTGAGGGGCGGGGAATGGAGGCGGAGGAGGAGGAAATAGAGGAAGACGACTATCCTCACCACACGTGGGATCAATCTCCCTCAACCGCCTCCACCTCATCCTCCTCTTCCATGACCGCTCGTGCCAGTACACATTTAACCGCACCCAATCGTAAGGGGGAGGAGGAGGAAGAAAATCTGGAAAGCGTTCACGCTTCGGGTCACTCAGCCAAGGACAACTGTCCCTGTGTGGAATGCTCCACCCTAAAGTTCGCTCAAGCCATTCCGCTGAAGAGTACCCACTTCTTCGAACGCACTTGGCGCGAGGAGGCTGTTGACTACGAGGCGCGTTTCCTCGGTCACTGCAACGTCACCACGGACATTAAGGAAGCCAACTTCTTTGGCGGGTAAGCACTCTGTGATTCGGGTTGATTTCCTGCACTGCGTATTGCGAGCCACTTAGGTCAACGTGGAGGAGC